AGCTTGGACATGGAATTTGAGTAAAACGGGATGGAGATATCTTTGTCAGCATTCTTGTGGTTGTGCAAGTGAACCTCATAACTTGGTAAACAAATAGTGAACATTACATTAAAGTTTGAGGCCCACTATAAGAACTTATTTATCCCTGTATGATTTATGTAGAATATCAAACTGATTAATACTGATTGGAAAAGAGTAGGGGTCCAAATGAATTATTTCTCACATTCCTATATTCGTAAATATTCATCCATTTAAATTACATTGTTTTGTTGGCATGTCACTAAACAAAATTATTTCTAATAACTTCCTCATTTTTTTGTGAATTTTCACTTTTCATTTATGATTTTGGTTTTCTCCTCTTTAAAAAATCAGATAAGCTAATGGTTTACTTAGTTTTTTAAGTTACTATTTTTATTTATCAGTTCAATGGGTCTTTTGCTTTCACTTTAATTAATCTCTTCTTTGATTTTCAGAATTTTTACTTTGGAATTTTAAACGTGGGGTTTTTTATTTGTTGCTTTTCTAGTTGTTTGGGTTTTTTTTTAAGTTCCACGCCCAATTCATTGATCTGTTCTTTATCTTTTTCTGATTGATAAAAGTAATATAGATTATATAGATATAAAATTTCCCCTGCAGACTGAGGACGCTTAAAGGCCATCCATAGATAGAGAGGCTGGTTCAGTCTGGTTGACCAAGGCAAATTACTGCTAAACACTGAAGACTGAAGGGTTGGGTGGAGCTATGGGAGAGGAACAATAGACTTCTGGGCAGTAGTGGATTTTGGATCAAAAATGACAGTTGGCCCTTGAGTGCCTCCATTCATTACCTGGGGGTATGATCTGGGTTTGTAGCAAGGTTTCTCTTCCCACCCCTCAAGCCACCAAAGCCCAATTAAATCCCGAGCCAGGGTTGGTATTTAAATTAGTGCTGGCTTTATAAAAGGAAACTTCGGTCCTAAGGGTCCTTGCTATTATTTTAAGCTTCCAGCTTCCTTAGAATCTCTGGGAACCTTGAAGAGACAGGTAAGGTGGCATAGACACTTGTGGCTAAGGATATTGAAGAGGCTTGGGGACAGGTGAAAAACAGGGACAGGCTCTCTCCCCTCTCTATATGTTTCTCTTCTTGAGCAATCTCATTTCCCTCCACTCTCATGATTCTTAAACCTCTCCCTGTATCTGAGGTCCTCCCCTAACCCCTGCAACTCTGGGGACCTTTCATTTCTCTCTTCCTACTTGGCTCTCCTACTTTTCCCTGAAACAGTAGCTTTCTTGTCTCTTCTCTCCCTGTCCACCACCTCAGGCTCTAACTTCCCCTTTCACAGTTTAAATTAGCTCCTGGAATAATTCTGTTTCGCAGACTTTTGAAGGCTGAAGTGATTCCTTGCTCAAAAAGATGAATTTGGTGACTTTCTCCTGTTAATAGGACATTATACGAATTCCTTTGCCTGGAACTCAAGGCTCTCCCATAATCTCGCTCTAGTTAACATTTCCCCAATCATATTTGACTTCTCTCTTCCTCCTGACTTCTTTAACCTGAGGGGACTGTTCCCTAATCTCTCCTCCTATGTCTTCAGGTCTCCCTTTCAGGCTTTGTTGTTGTTATTCAGTTATGTCTGACTCTTTGTGACCCCATTTGGGGTTTTCTTAGTGAAGATACTAGAATGGTTTGCCATTTCCTTCTCCAGCTCATTATACAGATGAAAAACTGAGGTAAACAGAGTTAATTGGCTTGCCTGGGATCACACTATCTGAGGTCAAATTTGACTCTGGAAGGTGAGTCTTCTTGACTTAAAGCCCAACTTATCCACTCTATTTACTCCATCCGCTGTGCCACCTAGCTGCGCTCCCTTTTCATGTTAGCCCTTACCCACCTTTCCCTCACCCTAAAATCCTTATTTTCCTTGTAAGTTTGCTTCAGGTGCCCTTGCCTACTCTTCCCGTACCCTATCACATTTCCCCCCACCCTTCCCAAATGCCCACCTGGTAAAATCTTTACCTTTCTTATGAGTTGGCCAAGGATTGAAAGTGATCAAGTGATCTCTTGATTCCTCATATGTCTATTTTTTTTAAGTTAGGCAGTCGGAGTTAATTAATTTGTCCAGGGTCACACAGCTAGTAAGTGTCAAGTGTGTGTGGCCAGATTAGAACTCAGGTCCTCCTGACTCCAAGTCCAGAGCTCTATCTACTTTGCCACCTAGCTGCTCCTGATTCCTCATATGTCTGAAAGGACTTTGCTTGGGCCTCTTCTTTGCAATTATTTAACTCTCTCTTGTAATAAAATTACTTATACTTTTATCTAGTTCACCATAATTATAAAATATAATTAAATAACATAATAAAATACAAAATAATTATAATAGCCAGCCTTTATGTTTTACTTTAAGGGTCTCATTTGATGCTCACTCACATCAGTCCTGTGGGGTAGGTGCTATTTTTATCCTCATTTTACAGATGAGGGCACTTCTTAAGAAAGGTTTAATGATTTGTTAGTATTAAGTGTGTGAGGCTGGATTTGCAGACAGATCTATCCACTGTAATACTTAGTTACTTCTATGAGACTAAGCTGCCTGAGGGCAGGGATTATAGTTTTTCAGCTTTATATTCCCAACCAGAAGCACAGGGCCCTCCAAACATCATGTATTTAATAAATGATTGTGGAATTAAATTTAATACCTAATCTCATCACCCCATCAGCTTCCCCTCCCTTTGTTGTAGTATGGGATCTTAGGGAGAAGAGAATACGCATTTTATAGCACCTACTACACAAATGTCTCATTTGATCCTTACAATAACCTTGGTAGCTGGTTGTCAGTAGGCACTATTATTTCCTCATTTTACAGTTGAGGAAACAGAGGCAGATAGAGGTTTGTATTATAGGCGTAATAAGCATCTGAGGGTCTTCAAGTCCCAGAGAGCTATCCAGTATACTACTCAGCTATCTCATTGGCTATCAAAGCTTAGGACATAGAATATAGAATATAAGAGCAGGACAGAATCTTGGAGCATAGAGTATGAAATTCCAGAGGTAAAAAAGAGATATTAGAGATCATGTAGTCCCGTGCTTCACCCACCCCTTCTCCCCCCCCACCCCGTTCCATTTTGCAGAGAAGGAAACTGAGGCCCAGAGAGGTTAAAGGACTTAGAAGTAAAAGAACTGATTGGCAATGGCATGATGCTTCTAGCCCAGGTCCTAGAATTTCAAATCCAATGGTCTTTGAAATAAACATCTGCTTAGAGACATTCAGAAGAAAGAGAGCTAAATTAAGAGTCTCCCCCTGCAGCCAGGGACTCAAACTACAGTAATCTGGTATAAGGAGATAAGCCCTGGCCTGCTTGGGTTTGAGAATGCCGTCTCCTTTCCTCCTAGCGGAGGGCTGTACATCCTAATCTCTAGTTGCCTTATTCCCCAAGCTCCCTAACACAGCTTGCTAGAAGTGGGTGCAGTGATCAAGGAGGGTGTCCAGGGAGTGCTTGGGGTGAATGAGGGTGGTGGTGTGAAACTGAGGAAAAAAATCAGGGAAGGGAGGAAATCTCTGTGGGATGACAGGGGGGAGATACTGCTGGAGGAAGGAGCTCCCTTTCTGATCCCCAATTTATTTTTCCCCTGGAGATTACTAGCCATAAGCCTGTCTCACCCTTTTCTGGACCAGGACCCCATGCCAATTTGGAACAGTTTCCCTCAAGGAAATTGAAACCTTTAGAACTGAAAGTGAGGATAAAGAGGAGGAAAAGCTAAAATTCCCAAGGGAAGCAGGCAGTGCCATGCAGAGGGGAAAAAACTGACTCAATTGGTTCAAGTTGTATTCTCATTTTTGACTTGCTGTTGTGACCTTGGGGAAATCCTTTCCCCTTTTTGGATTTCAGTTTCTTTAACTCTAAAATAAATGGGTTGGACAAGATAATCTCTAACGACCTATCTAACTCTGATACTATGTGTTCTTCAAGCCTTTCCTGCTCTCACGTTAAACATTCTGAGGTTCCTCTCAGTTCTGAAATGGAGCGATGGCTACTTATTCAATTCAGGTGGGTCCTAAAGATGGAGTTAGAATCTAGGTTAGAGGATTTCTAGCCCTGGGATTTACCCTCTATCCAAGAGGGCAATTTTATTAGGAGTCTGTGTTGAAATTGGGTCCAAATTTCTGGTCTAAGTAATGGTTGGGGATGAGGATGGGGTGGCATAATCCCTCTTGCTTGGGAGGAAGAGAGAGAAAGATCAAGATTTTCCTCTTCTGAAGGAAGCATCTTTGGACAAGTGAGTTAACATCTCTGAGACTCAGTTTCTACATCTGTAAGACAGAGATAATAAACAATGAATAACAGGATTGTTAGGGTCAAATTAAGTAATTTAAGTAAAGTACTCTGCAAATTTAAAAAAAAAAAAAGATTTTCCTCTTCTTTCCTTCCTCCTCTCCCTAAATCATTTCCCCATGATAAGGTGTCCAGAGGAGCAGAAAGCTTTGGTCAAAGGTCAGAGATCCCACTTTCAGGAAGATTCAAGTATCTGGGCTTCCTGCCCCACCCCCATCCCAGATTCTGCTTTCCCAGTGCTCTATCTCTTCTTCCCTACCCCCTCCCATTACCTTCCTTCTCCCTTGACTAATGCTCTACCCTTCCAATCTCAGTCACTCAAAACTCCTTCCCAAACTAGGAGTTTTTATTCTGGAATCTACGGACTTAAAAAATATGTTGATAACTATTTCAAAATAACAGTTTTCCTTTGTAATCCTGTGTATTTGATTTTATGCATTAAAAGGCATTATTCTGAGGAGTCCATAAGCTTCACTAGATTACCAAAAAGGTCTATGACTCTATGGTTTAAACCTTAGCCTTAGATGTATCCTAGACTCTCCTCTCCCCCATCCCCACTCCCCCTACCTACCATTGTTGGTACCTTTAGCCATGACATCCCCTCCTCCTCCTTCCAGGCCCCCCTCCTCTGCTTCCTAGTTCCATTCTCCCTCAGCCTCTGACTTCCCCTTCCCTTGGACTCCACTAGAGACCATGACTGAACCAGGATGGCGGTTGTTGTTCCTGGGCCTCCTGGCCATGGCCCATGGGCTTCGGAGAGGAAATGATCTGCTCAATGTCTGCATGGATGCTAAACACCACAAGATACAGCCTGGTCCAGAAGATGACCTTCATCGCCAGGTAACAGGCAGGGGGCAAAACTCCTGGATCTAGGGGAACCACAGTATGGACTTCTGAATGGAAGATCTGGCTATGAGGTGTACAAGAGGGGATAGGTAGCACTGCACATCCCTGATTTAGGAATAGGAGTGTTCTTTATAATAGGTCCTACTGTCAATTTGACAGTTTACAAAGTTTCATCACAACAGCAATAACAACCCAAGGAAGGAAGATATTACATTTTGCAAATGAGGAAACTGAGGCTCAAGAGAGATGGCATGATATCTTCAGAGTCAGATGGCTGGTAAATGATCATGCTGGGACTAATGTACATCTCAGGCAAACATTTCAGGCTCATGGAAGTTTCATAGAATTCTAGTGTCAGAACTAGGAGTGACCTTCAAACCATTGCATTCAACAAATATTGTGAAGGGCCATGAGCTTGGCACTGGGAATACTAGGGGAAGATTTGACATAGCCTGTTCAGAGCTTACCATCAAATGGAGAAAAAAGAGATATACAAATGAGTAAGTTACAAAGGGGAGGAAGATAAGGGCAGAGGGAGAAGTTCAGAGAAAGTTCTATGAGAAATTTGATTAGAAAGATAATTTAAATTTCTTTTTACATGACATTTTTTAAAATTAAATTTCATTTTTAAAAAATAAAAGTATGGTTTATCCCCACAATCCCACCATTGGAAAAACAACAAAAAGCCCAAAGCTCTTGTAAGAATTATGGGTAGTCAAGCAAAATATTCCTATATTGGCCTTGTCTAGAAAAATATGTCTTATTCTGCAGCCTGAGTCCATCATCAGTCCACTAGAATTTGTGGTTGCTAGGTTCTAGGTGCCTGGGGCACAAAGAGAAAGCAAGATAATCCCTGCTCTCAAGACTTATGTTGATTGGTTGGTTGGTGGCTGTTCTTAGTGAATGAAGGAGACCAAAAAGACATCACTATGTTGGGGTCAAGGCACAGTGTGTCTAACTGTGGCTGGTCAGACCAATAGGAGCTCAGAAAGCTATACCATAGGTCAGGCACAGATAGTCCATGTATTCTATACAATATACAAGAAGCCTATTTCTAAGAAGTTCTATTTGTAAACAAGATAGCAACAACAACAACTAAAGGAAATTCTGAAGAGGGGAAAGAACACAGGAATTTCAAGGATAGGGTGACTACCCACTGGCTTGAATTTTTCAGGCCAGCTTGGGTCAGAGTAAGTGATATCTGATGGCTCTGGCTCTGGGAGAGGCAATGTGATGTAATGGATAGGGTCCTGGCCTCACAGTCCTAAGGCTTGTGTTCACATTTCGATAGTGACATTAAATGTGCAATGTTGGGCCAGTCATTCACTCCTCTAGGTCCCCATTGCTGTGTGGAAAGCATTTGGTAAACCTTACAGTGATTTAAAAACGGGAGTCTCTGCCCAGCTCCTCAGCCCTCTGTGCCTTCCCTTCCCCCAACTCCTTCCCCTCCAGTGTAGCCCATGGAAGAAAAATGCCTGCTGTACAGCAAACACAAGCATTGCAGCCCATGAAGATGCTTCCTACCTGTACCGCTTTAACTATAACCACTGTGGAACGATGGCCCTGGCTTGCAAACGCCACTTTATCCAGGACACTTGTCTCTATGAGTGCTCCCCCAACCTAGGACCCTGGATCCGGCCGGTAGGTAACTGAGGGGGAAACAAGACCTTTGCCTTTATCTATTAAGTATCCCCTCACCACCAATATTAAGGCGGAAAGCACAGCCTCCACCCTCAGAGAGATGTGCCAGTGTTAAGAGTCTGAAAACTGATGTTCCCTCTCCCCAACCAAGGTGTCCTCAAGTTGGCGTAGGGAACGGATGCTAAATGTTCCCCTCTGCAAGGAGGACTGTAACCAGTGGTGGGAAGACTGCCGAACCTCATATACCTGCAAAGAGAACTGGCAAAAGGGTTGGAATTGGACTTCAGGTGAGGCTCAGGCTCCTCCTGAGAGGCTAGGGGGAGAAAAGGCCAGGGGTAAAGGGGAAGAGAGGAGGGAGCCAAGGGTAGGAGAGTAGAGACTGTACTTTCCTGCCTGTGCAGAGGGGAGCTGTGGGGTGGGCTATGGCTGTGGTATACAATGTCTTTTTGATGGATTGGTTAGTTCTGATTTTTTTTCTAATAATCTATGGCTCTCTGGATGAGGGAGAAATGTTGGAGGAGTTTTGGGAGGAAGGAGATTTGGGGAAATGTGGTTGATGTAAAAAACAAGATGAAGTGGAGGGTTAAAGGTATAGGAACCTGGGGAAAAGCTTGAGACTCAGGTTAGGGGCTGGGATTTGTCATTAAGTATAGGAACTTCAGTTTTGATTAGAGATGTAGGAAAGTGGGGATCTAGGGGAAGGACCAGAAGCTAGAGATGGCTGCAATTGGATTTGCGCATCCGAATTCAGGGGCTGAGGGCATAGGATGTGATAGCTGGGGTGGGAGAAGCTCTGTAGACATTGAAGAGCTAAGGATTTGGGGCTCAGGATGAGGGCTAGGATCCAGAGTTGGTCATGAGGAGAAGGGAGCAGGGGAAGCCTGAGCTGGGGTGGAAAGCTGGTGGGGAGGTGGAATCAGGGTTATGGGGAACCAGGCTGATATTCTTTTTTTCCATTCCATAGGGATTAACAAGTGCCCAATTGAGGCTGCCTGCCACCCTTTCTCATTTTACTTCCCAACACCAGCCTCCTTATGTGAGAACATTTGGGGTCACTCTTATAATGCAAGCTCTTTTGGCAGGGGCAGTGGCAAATGTATCCAGATGTGGTTTGACCCAGCTCGGGGAAACCCCAATGAAGCCGTGGCTAAATACTATGCTTCTGCCTCTGCCCCAGGCATCTTCAGTTGGGGGGCCAGTTTCCCCTTCTTGGCTTTGACACTACTGTTGCTTCTCTGGGGTTAATCCTCATCAGGCATGAAATCTAACCCATTTACATGCAAAACCATAGCCAAGATGTGCTCTGTGTCTGAGATCACAGGACCCCAGCTTCCTGCCTGACACAGCCTGGCTGTCCTGAAACCCTGGCTTCCCAATCTGGATTCTTCCCCCTCAAACCTGATCTGTCCACTTGGAAACCTACAACCCCACCACATTTCTCATTCTCCACCCCACTACTGAGGGGTAGTTCAGGGAGAGAGTGCCTTCCTTTCTCCCATTTTTAAGTAGCTCCAACTCCAGTGTCCTACCTCTTCCTCTGCATAGCAAAATCCACCCCCCACCCCCACCCCTTCTCTTCTTTAGGGGTAATTAGAAATTATTTCTACCCCCTTTAAAGTAAAACCCTCCTTGCTCCTTTCAAGTAAGCATCATTTTATTGATTATATTTGTATCCCTTGTACCTGTTCCATATATAAATAGGTGATTAATAAATACTGATTGATCAAAAAAAATCCCTTCTCTTATCCTTTCCAGTTCTTCCCCATGTAACAGAAATTTTCCTTTAGCACTCTGGTATCAGTCATTTCAGTTGTGTCTAATTCTTCATGACTGTGTTTGGGGATTTCTTGTTGCCATCTCCTTCTCCATCTCATTTTATATTTGAAGAAACTGAGGTAATTGGAGGTAAGTGACTTGAGTAGGCTCACCTGGTGTTTCTAAGCCATCTCCTCCCCCCAAATGAGTAATTAGGCACTGGTGGGAATGGAGGGGGGCTCGAGGGGAAAGGCAGTGATTGAGGCAAGCCAAAGCTAGGGTTTAGTAAGGTGACCTTGAGGTGATCTCAGCCTCTCCTCTGGTTTCTTTGCATGTAATTACCCCTAGCAAATTATAAAGTATACACTCTACTGAAGGAAAAGACCCATTTTATAGATGCAGAGTGGTTTGAGTGAAAGAACAGTGGATTTAGGGACACAGTTTAACCTCAGTTTTCACATCAGTAAAAAGAAAAGATTGGAATAGATTGCTTCTAAGTTCCCGTCCCAATTCTAAATCGATGATCGCTTGGGAAAGATGGGAGCAGAGAGGTGGAGATTAGATGTACAGGGTCTTTAGGAGTTCTCCAATCCAGAAGTTTGTGGCATGCCTGAGTACCTGTCTGAACTAGATCAAAATGTAATTTGGAAATATTTATACAAAATAAATATAAATGCAATAAAACATTACATGAGGAGCCCATTTTTACTTCAGTTTGACCTACTCCACCTTAGTTTAAACCCTATAGTAATAAGCCTGTTCTTCACATGTTTCCCTCACTTCAGGGATGATCAAAGTAACAGGTCCAATAAATTTGGAATGAGGAAAAGGGATTCTGGGGCCTAGAAGAGGAGCTTTTCAGAGTCAACATTCAGATAATAGGATTTTAGAGCTGAATGAAGCTTTTTTTTCTTGTGATTTCATTGATACTGGTCCTCACTAGCAGGTGAGTAAACTCCCTTTACTGGATATCTACAACTGTAATTTGTGGGTGGCAGTAATAAGTTAAGTGATTTGTTCACTTGGGTCCCAAAACAAGTAGGAACTCTATACCAACTATCAACTCTGAAAAATAAAACCAACGAGCTCCTGGAGGTTATAAGCAAAAAGCTCTCTTTATTCTGTTGGAGGAGGGAAACTAGATAGGGGTGCCAGTGTCTGCTCTAGAACCGAGGAGACCCAAGGCACCCAGGCCAAGTCTTGATGCATATAGTGGTGGCCAGACAAAGAACCAAGTAGTGAGGAGTAGCTATATCAGGGAGGGGTGACAGCAACGATAAGGCAAGTTTGTGTAGTGAAAAAAAGTATTCATAGCAGGGCTTCATGACTGGAACATGATTCTTGCAGGTGTTTAAGCTCAGGGACCACCTGCGGCTGGCTTGAGCCAGTTCTGTGATTGATTTGCAGCAGAGTTCATCTACAGAATGAGTGCAAAGGATTGTTATGCTCAGGGTTTGGTTTGCTTGCTGGGATTAGCTTTGGGGTTTTTTTTTTGTTTTTTTTTTTTTTTTTTGGCAATTGGGGTTAAGTGACTTGCCCAGGGTCACACAGCTAATGAGTGTCAAGTGTTTGGTCTGAGGCCACATTTGAACTCGGGTCCTGCTGACTTCAGGGCCGGTGCTCTATCCACTGTGCTACCTAGCTGCCCCCGGGCCTTGGCTTTGGAAAACAAGAAAACTATCCTCTAATAGTAAAAAGAGAGGGTGGTCTTGGCATGGGGATCCTGACATTTTTCCCTTTTGGCCAAAGGGAGGGGAGTCTAAAAGAATCTATCCTATCCTAGCCAAGAAAGGAGAGGCAGGTATGAGCCAAGATGCCATGAGAGGCCAGCTGGGCCAGGAGGAGATGAGTTGAAGGACAACTGAGGGCTTAGGTTGGTGAGCATGGGGGCTAAGATGGAAAACCTAACAATTTGTTAGCCCCTCCCCTTTAGCAATGATGGAGGATAGATAAAGAATGGCATTTCTATCCCAGGAGCTTAGTTCCTGGAGGGAACCTATCAGGGAAGTGCATACTAGGCATCTTTGAGAAACTCCCAATAGGGAAAGAGCTCAAGCAGATAAAGCAATAGATCTTATTTAGCCATTGTCTATTACAAGCAGAAAAAAGGAAGGGGAAGAGAAAAATGTAGAGGGAGAAAATGCCAATACATTCTTAGATCATGGCCTTAGTGGTTGGACACATAAGAAAAGGGAAGAGGAAAAAACTAAGATTCAGCCCTTGTCTGGAATCTTGGGACAGCTGTCTCATTTGGATGTCTGTTATCAGAGGAGCCTTGAGATCCCTGGACAGTTCTGCCATCCACAGAGAGTCCACACTCAGAAATCTGGCAGTGGCAGCTGTGGGAGTCATCAGAAGCACCTGGTAGCAGCCCTTAAGTTGAGGGGTAGAGTGAACAGCCGCAATTTCCTGAATTCAGAAAAGGTTGTATAACACTCCCCAATAACTGTAGCATGGAAACAATAACTGATTGATCAGTATAGATGTAGTTTTCAGATAAGACATGGATTGCCTGAGATTTACAACTGAAGAAAACTCCTTGCATCAATCTGTGGATCTGAGTTACTGGTCAGGATAGTTCAGTTAGAGATTGAATTACTTAGAGGGTGTACAATATACTAGCTACACCAGTTCACTGCCTGGTTCTTTGTCTAGCTGCAACTAAATGTATCAAGGCTTAGCCTTGATGCCATGGGTCTCCTCTGTTCTAGAGCATGCACCTTGGCTTTATTTTATTTTATTTTTCAGAGTTGACAGTTGATATAAAGCTTTTGCTTTATATCTGTGACTCTTTGGTAATTTATTTTCACAGTTTGACAGGTTATATCTTGATGTTTAACATATTAGAAATTGAAACATACACTTAAAAATGTTTGCTAATTTAGTTGTTACATTCACTATGCATTAACACAAGTAACATTTTAATGAAAAGCATGTTTCCAAAAAATTAGAAGAGCTATTGTTTTGCATATTTTTCTAAATCTCTCTTAAAGTCTGAATTAATGGAATACAGACCTTAGGAGACAGCTGGATTTTCATCTTGTACAATCAGTTCGTTGAAGTATATGAGTAAAATTCGGTGTCACGATGACAATGTGGTTGGAAAAGGGAGGAGTATTTTAGTAGTAGTATCTCAGTATTATGAAAATAGTTTTCACTTCAAGGACTCCTTGAAAGGGTCTCAGAGTTCTCTAACCACGCTTAGAAAAACACTGATTTAGTCCAATTCCATCACTTAATATATGAGGAACCTAAGAGGGAGGAAATCAGGAAGTTACCACCTCATGGACTGGGCCTCGGGCAAGACATTTTTGGCCAGATCTGCCCGCAACTGCTCTGGCCCAGTGTCTTGGATGCAGAAAACAGACTTGAACGGATTGGGGGTGGGGAGTTGGGGACAAAGGAAGCGACTACAGAGAGGACAGGATGAGAGCGTTGGGGAGGGCTAAAGAAGGTAGGAGGGAGACAAGGGGCGACGGAGGGAGCGAGGGAAGGATGGGACGAGTATGACGGAAGAAAAGGGTGAGCAGAGATGGGGAAGTGGGAGGGATGGAGTAGGAAGGGGAGTATGGAGAAGGACGATAGCTGGTATGAGAAAGCTTGGTTTCCCGGGCTCTGGACTGACTCCACAAGGAGGCGGGAGGGAAGCAGGAGGCGGGGAGAGGCAGAGCAGAGGGGCGGGTCGGAAGGCTGCGGGTCTGGGACCTGGGGCGGAGGAGGGCTGGCTGACCAACTTAAGGCGACTGGCAGCCCTGGCCTGGCCCTACGTTCCCGGGGGAAGAGGGTGTCTGAGTGTGTTCCCAGGTGGGCTAAGCGCTCTCTGTGCCCAGGCAAGCCCTCCTAGGGAGAGTGGGGTTGGTTTAAGAGACTTTTGCCTTTTTGGGGAAGAGGAAGGAGTTTCCCTTAACTGTGTCCCGAGGCCTCGGGGGCTCCGGGTGGCGGCGGAAGAGAACTTGGAAAGTGGGGGGAGGGAGAGGGGGAAGGAGTCGGGGAGGGAGTGGGGGAGGGGAGAGACTCCGCTTTCTGCCGGGCTCTGGGCATCCCGAGAGGAAGCTGCGCTGGGGCTTATTGGGGGTGTTGTGTTTGGGGGTTTCGGGGCTTGTATCCCTAGGCATGTCAGGGGCTGGTGGCCAGGATTCCTGTGTTTGGGTTAACGCTAAAGGGGGTTTGATGCTCGATTCTGGGGCGGTCTCTGGAGTGTATTGGGGACTCCAATGGTGTCTTTTGGGGGTCTCTGAACAATGTTTGGGAATCATGGAGCAGCACTCCGTGGATCTGGGATCCCGTTTGGGGATCTGAAGTGCGGGGGCTGCGAGTGTATTTGTGGGGGAGCCCTGGGGGTTCTTTGGTCACGGGGGGCGGGGACACCCGTAGCTCCTCCTTCCCGTCCCCGTCTAGTCCCGTCCCCGTCTAGTCCCCTCCCCATCGCAGCTCCTAGTTCTCCTCCCCCCTCGGCCTCTGAACAAACTTTTCTTTCTCTTGCAAGTTGCGGACTAAAGCTGGGGAGAGGGAAGAGCCGAGAGACCGCCTCCAGAGCCGCGGCCAATCCCGCCCTGGATTTGGCGGGTGCTTAAGTAAAGCAAGGACTTTCCATACTGGAAAAAAAAAATTCATGAAAACAATCTTTTACAGCACAAGTTAATGACTACTAAAACATTTGGACTAAACTGAAATCGAGGAACCCAATATGTCGTTAACGTCTCTCTTTACAATGCAGAATATGTACCAAGTGAAATTATGTTTTATATTATGAGTACTGTTTGCATTACTTGCATTTAGCTGTATAAATAGTAAAGAGGTACTGTTACATTAAAATTAGCATGAGTAACTCCATTTTGCCTTTCATCCACCATTTTGTGAAGTTTCAACTCTCAGTAAGGCACAAGAGTACTCCCCTTCCCCAGTCACTCCATTTAAAGACTGTCACAAGACCCTTCTCCCTCTCACCTCAGTGATACCTTCTACCAATGAGAAACCAAATGTCTTAATCCCTATAATCCTGTTTTTTCACTCCCTGCAAATTGTATATTAATGGTGTAGAAACCAAGCTTTGGGGTCCGTGGCTATTGAGAGCCCAGTGTGTATTACAACTGCATGCGTTGCTTAATAAATTGTTACCTGGATGTAATTACTCGGTTACTTTTTATTTCCAACATAACACTACCCAATAAAATTAAATGTGAATACTCCTCTGTGTGTGGATGTATGTATAATGTTTGGATAACTCATGAAAAAATGTGAAGCATACATCGTGTATATGTATATATACATACATACACACACATACCTTGTAAAGCAAAAAATAAAATGTAAATATGAAAAGTGAAAGAAAAAAATGATGAAAATTATTTCAGAGAAATTGGGGAAGACTTGAATGAACTGATTCAGTAAAGCGAAGTGAGTAGAACAATTCATACAAATAATAATATTGTAAAGACAACTTTAAAGATAGGAAACTCTATCCAGCACAATAACCAACTACAATTCCAGAGGACCCAGGATGAAACACATTATCCACTTCCAAACTGAGAGGTGATGTACTTAGAGTACAGATTGGGGCATATGGTTTTCTTGTACATGACCAATGTGGGAATTTGTTTTACTATACATGTTGGGAAATGATGCTAGGTGTTTTTTCCCCCTTGCTTTTTCAAAGGCAGGTAAGGGAGCAAAGGAGACATGAGAGGGAGAGAATGTACACCTGAAAAAAATTGAATTAAAAATATTAAGGAGATTAGGAATATGCTTCTTTCAGGAGGTGGGATTTTGACTGAGACCTAAAAGAAGCCAAAGAAGCTAACAGATGAGGAGGGAAAGAATCCCAGGCATTCAAAGCAGCCGTTTAAAATTCAAGGAGTTAGGAGATTGTTGTGCAAGGAAAAGCAAGGAGGCTACTGAGACAAGATTACAGAGTACTTGGAAGGGGGATTAAGGTGCAAGAAGACTGGAAAGGTAGGAAGGAGCCAGGTTATGATGGACTTTAAAAGTCAAATGTTTGTTTAGTCATTTTTCTGTCATGTCCAACTCCTCTGTGACCCTTTTCCTTTTCTTGGCAAAGAAAAAGTGGTTTGCCATTTCCTTTTCCAGCTCATTTTACAGATGACAAAATTTAGCCAAACAGGGTTAAGTGACTTGCCTAGGGTTACACAGCTAGTAAGTGTCTGAGGCTGGATTTTAATTGTCTTCCTGCTTCCATGCCCAGCTCTATTCACTGTGTCCCCCAGCTGCCCTAAAAGCCAAAAAGGATGTTATATTTGATCCTGGAAGTAATAGGAAAGCATTGAAGTTTATCAAATAGGGGATGACCATGGGCAGACCTTTGATGTAGGAAGATCATTTTAAAAACTGAGTACAGGATGGTCTAGTGTAGTGGGGGGAGACTTGAGGCAAGAAGACCAACCAGCAAGCTATGAAATTGTTGAAATATTCCAGGAATGAGAGGTTCTTCACCATTATGGTGCCAGATTTTGTGAAGACAGAATGGATAGTATATGACAGCTGATTGACTATGGGGGGTAAAGAGAGTGAGGAGTCAAGACTGACACCTAGGTTGTGAGCTTGCATGACTGGGAGGATGGTGGTGTCTTTGACAGTAATATGAAAGTTAGGAAGAAGAGAAGGTTTAGAGGGGAAGGATGAGTTCAATTTTGGACATGTTAAGTTTAAGGTGTCTATGAGACATCCAGTTTGAGATGTCCACTAGATAGTTGGAGACTGACTGATGGTCAGGAATGAGATTAGGATTGGGGAAAATAGTTATGAGAATCATCTTCATGGAAATGATAATTGAATCCATGAGAACTGTTGAGATCACTAAGCCAAATAGGAGAAAGGGAGAAGCAAAGAGGGCCCAGGACACAGCCTTGGGAGACATCCCTGGTTATCAGGCATATCCTGGATGAAGATCCAGCAAAAAAGAGCCAGGAATCAAGTTGTGAGAGGCTTTGACTGTCAAGCAGAAGAGCCTGTATTTTATTCAGGAGGTAATAGGGAGCCATTATCATTACTTGAGCAAGGAAATGACATGTTAGACCTGTGCTTTAGGATGCTCACTTTAGCAACAGTATAGAAGATAAATTGGAGAGGGGAGGGACTTGATTCAGGAAGACAGGTAATGATATAAAGGTTTATCCAAATGCAGAATAGAAAGTAATATCTTTCACAGTGGTGGATAAAGGATGAGATCATAAACAACCATGACTTAAAGAAAATTGCAAAGACAAAACTGAATAGTTCAACTAGATAAAAAAGATTCTGCACAAGTTAAATCAATGCAGCTAAAATAAGAAGGAAAAATACAGACTAGAAAAATCTTTCATTAAATCTCTTTAAATACCTGACAAATAATAGTAACTAACTTTTTTTTAATAGAACAACAACTACAAGGTAGTTAGTGCAAATATTACCCCCATTTTATGAATAAGAAAATAGGCTCTGAGAGGTTGAGACTTATCTATAACATGCAAGCACGTTTCTCCATTGCCTTCAGCATAATATTTATTTTTTATTTATTTTTTGCTTTTTTGGTGAGGCAGTTGGGGTCACACAGCTAATAAGTGTCAGGTATCTGAGGTTGGGACACATTTGAACTCAAGTCCTTCTAACTCCAAAGCTCTATCCACAACGCCACCTGGCTGCCCCTCATAATATTTATTTTTAGCTCTTTAGAGGCAGTTGTGACCCATGTCTTACTGCTGTACAACCATGCTGGTAAAATGTTAGTACTGAAAAGATGGGCCTTTGCTTTTGCAGGAAACTTGGGATCAGTAAATGAGCTTTACAGTTTTCTAAAAGCAATCAAGTCATCTCTCTTCCTTCTGTTCAATTTGGGCCCAATTCATCATCCATTTAAACTCTGTCCAAGATATACATACTGTTGGATAAGCTCTATTACAGAGGTTCTTAAATTGGGTCTATGAATTTGGTTATTTTTTTTAAAAATATTTTGATAAGTATATTTTTATATAGTTGGTTTCTTTTGTAAACCTCTCAAAATCTTACAGAAAAGGTTGAGAACCCCTGCTCCCTAGTGTATCCTTCCAAATGTATGTTGAAATCTGGGCCATAGACATTCTTCAGCTACTTGATTGTTCCTGTGTAGATGGTCAGGCCAAGCTCTTCTGAGTGATTACAGGTCTCTTCCAGGAAGCTCAGTAATGTAACCAGCATAAACCTTATGCACAAACTGGAGCATCTAGAAGACCTCACCATCCACATTCAACCTGGACTCTGCAGTGGACCTCCTCCATCACAGAGGGCCAATACCTCTGAAGAACAAACATCTCCCTATTTATGACTCAGCTAATGTTTATTATTGGAGGATCCTTGAGCAGGGTTATTTTTGTTGTTACGTCTTCCAGGGAATCTTGAATGATCTTGATGGGAGACCCTCTGCTGTTAAAGCACCCAAAGGCAGCAGTTTCTTCTACCAATTCAAGTGCTTTTCTTTAACAAACAATAAATGTGATATGATCTTATATTCTTTCTATCTTTTAGTTAATTGTGCAATGGAAAAAGTGTGTCCAATTAGAAAATAATGTATATGAAAACCTACATTTCCTACATACACATCAAGGATGCCCTTGATTCATGTGTAAAGTTTTTATATGGATGAGAAAGTAGGCATGTAGATGAGTAGTTACTAATGTTAGTCAGTTTTTTTCAGCATCAATAAGAACTAAGATTCCCTCCCACACACACATACACCTTTGGTACTTTCATCTACTTCAGATAACTTGTATATTGGTCCCTCATAATGGATCACATCTAGCACAGATATCTTCTATATATGCTTGGTCTAATTTAGCTACTTTCTCCATTTCTGTTCTACTTAGTGACATTTCTGCCTCTTCTATAAGCACATCTAGGAATTTAATGTGAGCATCCAAGTGTAGTGATTTCACTAATCTTGATAGAAAAAGCCACTTTTAATTTTTTAAAGCAAATATTCTCCATATCCATTTATCTTCTTTTTGTAGTCCTTCTATATTTATCCTTGAATTCACTTGGAAAAACTTTGCTTGGTTGGATATCTTGCCAAGCCTTCTTCTTCTTCTTCTTTTTTTTTTTTTTTGGCAATTGGGGTTAAGTGACTTGCCCAGGGTCACACAGCTAGTAAGAGTCAAGTGTTTGGTCTGAGACTGAATTTGAACTCAGGTCCATCCTGACTTCAGGGCCAGTGCTCTATCCACTGAGCCACCTAGCTGCCCCCACCAAGCCTTCTTTAAACTGGTTTTATCCTCCACAGCTTCTCTCTGCTTTATGAGACAATTCTGTTTATAATCATCCATCATTCTTCATTGTAACATTTTCCAAATAAGTTTATATTTCAGCCCAATGTTGCCTTTGGTAGCTCTCTCTCTCCATTTCGAAAGTAGAACAGATTTTTTTGATTAAGGTACTTTCTGTGTTCTTTTGGTCTCCTTTTATTTTATTTCTCTCTCTCTCTCTTTTTTTTTTTTTTTTTGGTGAGGCAATTGGGGTTAAGTGACTTGCCTAGGGTCACACAGCTAGTGTCAGGTGTCTGAGGCCACACTTGAACTCAGGTCCTCCTGACTCTAGAGCCAGTGCTCTATCCACTGTGCCATTTAGCTGCCCCATTTTGGTCTCCTTTTAGCAATTAATTTACATTGACTAAATTTGAGGATGAAATTATTATAGTGGCTATTATTTTTTGCTGTCCATTTCTCACTTTTGTTTTTTTAATTCCTTATGTAAATAATTCAATTACCTGTTTAAATAAATTGTTTTAATCGCCCACCATTTATTTTTCTCATTATTATTTTCCTTCTCCCAGAACAAGGCTAGCTACATTTTCTCCTCAGCATTCTAGGGGTACCCGTGAGCAGTTTGAGAAGTCTTTTTAGTACCATCAGCTTGATCAATCATTCTGGTGTATTCCCCTATGGTCAGCTATCAGTGATTAGTGCCCCAGGTTAACTTAACCAATTAACATCAATTAGTTTTTGCAAAAACATATTTACTGGGGGCAGCTAGGTGGCACAGTGGATAGAGCACTGGCCCTGGAGTCAGGAGGACCTGAGTTCAAATCCAGGCTCAGACACATAACACTAGCTGTGTGACTCTGGGCAAGTCACTTAACCCCAATTGCCTCAGGAAAAAAAAACA